CACACACACACACACACACACACACACACACACACACACACACACACACACTTTATTGGCAGAGTTGGGTTTCAAAGACTAGGTCTGCTTACAACAAATGCTGCTTGACCCTGCCAGAAATCCAGTAAGCTTTCTTCCTGGTATCCAACCTGCAGCCCATTGCCCCCTATTGTGTGGTGTCGGGGGTCCCTGCAGACAGTTTGTTTTTTCATTAGCTAGGCTCTGACTAGTGAAGGAATCCTTGTTTGTAAAGCCGCCAATACACCTATAGATTATCTGCAGACTTTCTAGTGGCAGATGGGAAAAAGTGCAACAGATTCCTCCGTCTATGCTACACTGTGTGTATGGGGGAATCTCCCGCTGGGCCAAGCTCCAGTATCTTGTTAGTCGGCCCCGCTGGCTGTCGGAATACCTGAACAATGCCGGCATCCAATCAGATTGTTCAGGTATTTTGACAGCAAGCGGGCCTGACTAGCAAGATACTGAAGCTTGGCCCAGGTGGAGATTCCCCCATACACACAGTGTAGCGTAGATGGAGGAATCTGTTGCACTTTTTCCATCTGACCATAGAAAATCTGCAGATACTTTGAAAAATCAATGCCAATGACCTGTTTTACTTCTAACTCTACAAGCCTGTTCAGTCTCTTCCAATTACCTGTAGCATATCCGCGGTCTTAGACCGTCTCCTGCTGCATATCTGCAGACTGACCTTACTTTTGTAGAATTACATTCATTGAACATTGTGAGCGTCTTTTGGGGGTATCAGGGGCTGCACTACTTTAAAGCGGAACTCTGGGCAAAATATCTATTAACCTTTGCTGTGGGGCTACCTCTGCACTGCAAGGGTTAACTGCCTTTAAATTAGGACTAAGATACGTTACTCGCCTTATCCTCCGGCTTGTTAGACCGGGTCCTTCAGCCTCTCCCCTCCGCCGCAGCGTTCTAGGATCCCTGAGTCATCATTTTCTATGAAGTGTATCGGACGTGAGGGAGATGTAGGAGAGTCTGGAGGGAGCGCTCTGACAGGTTGGGGAGCGGGTAACTTTTTTGAACCCTTAGGTGACCGATGGGTTCATAAAAAAATTTCCCCCAAAGTTGTTTAAGAAAGTAGACCATGATTGCTGGAACTTGCTTGAGTGGACTATGCCTTGCCTCTGCTGACTTCCCAGGCATTGTTTCCTTCCCTGCCTGAGCTCTTGCTGGACTACAGAACACCCCCTCTCCTATCCATAACACAAGAGGGAGTTCTGTATTCCAATGATAGCTCAGACAGGGCTGATAACGCTGCTTGAGCTCATAAAAAAAAATTAGGAGCTCACTGGATTTCTGGTCGATAAACCGGTATTTGCAGCAGCATTTTAAACTATTGGCATTTGTTGGAGTCTGGAAGGAGCGTTCACAAATGTTGGGTCGTACATGTGCCATGCAGATATTGCCTTTGTTAAAATCAAGACTCCAGCATCACAAATCAAGAGTCCTATTTGGCTTCATTGCCTGTGTAGTCTCTGGGCATAGTATGGCCATATGGTGCATGACTTGGAGAGGTGCTGTTTACATAGAATGCTTCACTGTTTCTTGGGCAGTGGAAGACAAGTACTTGGTGCAGTGTAAAGGAAGGATATTGGATGTCTCTTCTACAAAGGAAGGACATGCGATGTCTCTGTCTGGATATGTTTGTATTTATGTTAATTGTATTTCTTTTGCTCTTCCAGGCTGACCCTGTACCCAACGGACTGCGAGCTCTGCCTGTCTTCTATGCCTGCACAATCGGAATCAACCTCTTCTCCATCATGTACACCGGCGCTCCCAGTGAGTAAACCTTTTTATTGTAGGATTTTGGTCTATTTGCCTCTGGCTGGTGTTCTTGAGCCCACCATTAAACCCAAAATTTACTACTTTTTACTTTGCAGGACTGAAATCTTCTAGAAGGCTGCAGGCTAGTGTATGCTGTGGGGCTTAGTAAAGAACCTGCAGCGGTGCCCCTGCTAATACCCCCCTTCCCTACACAGACCCCCTCCCCCCCACCCCCCCCCCCCCCTTCAGCATTGTCGGTGGCTATGAAGAAGTGCAGATGAATTCTTATTTTTACCCTTATTTCTTTCCTTTTTCTCCTACGAGAGACCAACCATATATTTTACTTAGCCAAGGGACGCTGTTAGAAACGCAGTGTCGTAGGACCTAATATGGGGAGCGTCGAGTTTTCTTGTATTTGAGATCTATACAGCTTGGAAACCAGTCAAATAACTCTCTAATGCCTCAGTGATCGAGCATGATCTACTGTGGCACAGATAAATGATTCCATTAGGGAGCTAGGCTGCCGGGCGGGAGCACTGCTGGGACAAGCAAGCTACGTCCCCTGGTATCCTTTTAGGGAGGAAGTCTCTCCTATCGGGTCACTTAATCTCTTCAGGAGCCTTTCTCAGTGAACTGTAATTATCCCGAGAGAATAGGTATATCTATTGTTTCTGGAATCTGAATCGTAAAGGGCAAGTGTTCAATACTAGATTTCCAGTAGGATGAAAAGTTCTGCAGCTCTAAGCACCCCCCCCCCTAATCATCTAACACTCATTGGGGCCTTTGCTGTTACATGATCAGCAGATTTGTAGTCGCAGCTTCCCCAAAGGCCTGGCAGTCTGCATGCCATTACATGTTAAAACACTGAATTAATGCGCTCTGCATGTTAAGGGGGGGGGGGGGGATTAAGAAACAAGTTTGTCCAAGGATCAGGCGCGCCTAACAGGCGAGGCCGTTTATATTTTTACAATGGCATACAGTGGGGGTACAGGACTACATTAATGTAGAGTTCTTGTAACGCAAGACCTCTAGCTGCCAAGTGGTAGCTCAGCAGCCGCGTTGGCTGTATTTTCACCTTCATGTTTGGACAACAGGTTAGTATCATGGAAAGATTCTGGGATGTGTTGATGGCATTAGATACACATGCAGAGTTTTACCATAATGGTATGAATTATTGTATCTGCATCCCATGTATGTAAGAAGCAGAAATGTGAGGAATTGGTGCTAATGGCTTTTGTCAGATGTCGTTCCTGGCATGCCGGCACACCTGTTCCTGATGATCATGGGTACAGGCATGACTCCCAGAGACAGTGGCATGATGGGAGTTTTAGTTGCTCCACAGCTGGAGGGCCGACGTTTGCTTGTCTCTGCTGTAGATTATCGCCCCGAGCTGATGGTCGTGAATGCAGTGCCTGCAGTTTGCGGGGACTCTGAATATTTGACCTCTTTTAGTTTTTGCTTCTTACAACAACGGGAGTTGGAAGGCATCATGGTTGACAGTTCATTTAAGTCAGGGGTGGGCAACTCTGGCTGTTGTGGAACTACTAGTCCATGAGGCATTGGAAGACAGTTACAGGCATGACTCCCAGAGGCATGTTGGGGATTTGTGGGTTAAAGGACAGCTGGAGGGCCGCAGTTGCCCACCCCGATTTTTAAGTATATAAAGCCTTCTGGGAGACTGTCGGTGTACAAGGATGTTTTCTGGCAGTGCCACTGTATCTACCTACACTGTACCCTCTATTCCCTCCCCCAATAATATAGATATGGGGGGGGGGGGGGGGGGG